TATAATATACAGGGTGTGCCAATTAAAGCTTCCCACCTGGAAAATATCGGAAAAAAGACCAAAAAAGTTTATGAACAACGCAATGCTGCCAACCGCATATCACTAAATATCTCCATTAGCGCGTAATTCAAAAACTTCGGTTATTTTCTGAGCAGACTTCGTATGTTTATAAAATCGCAATGGACTTCCGCTTGTCTACAAATGCATAAAGTTTCACGTAATATGAATTTTTTAACTTATATTTGCAGTGCAGCTGAGGAACGAACTATATTCCGTTGTATCCAAGTTCTGATAACGGTGTTTAGTCGCTACATCAAAGTATTTCTGTGTATGACATCCACACGCGATTTAAAAAACCTTTTTTGGATCTGCTGCCGCTCACGCAAATACATTACCTTTAAGCTAAATACTAACTCCGTTGACTGATTCATTGACGCTTTGACCTTTGAAAAGTACGAATTGTAATCTGATTGCAAAAAAGCCCCTTTCAAGGGCTCTGTTAAGGCCGTATATAAAGGAATAATTGTGAAATGTGATAATTACCCACAGGCATTAAATATATTTTTACAGCAGTCGCATGTTTAAGCTCAATTTAAAATTCCTTTAAAAGCAGTTAGGTAGCGTATACATGGTCACTCAGTGGCATTGTTACTTTATGGGAAATCATTATAGAATCGTGTTAATAGTTTTTAAACTTAATACATATAAAATGTATTTTTTCATTTTAGAGAAAATTTAGTATATTACTAAAAAAACAACTTGACAGTAGTTGTCAAAATTACTTCTATTTTTTTATCTCAGGTCTAGCGATGACGAAGATTCACGCCCGTTCCAAAATCTATCATTGACCACCTGAAGTGCCATCGCCTTCGCAGTATCTGGGCACGCTTTTTCCACAATTACTAATTAAATCACATTTTAGAAAGTTATAACTTGTACTACTTACTTATTTTGCAATTAAATTTTTTCTTAACCCACGAAAATATCATTTTAAATCCTGTGTATTTAATAACGTTCTGAGTAGAATAAATTTGACAAATTTAGGCGTTTGAAGATGATGAAGATATTAAAGATATTTTTAGGAATTTTGAAAAGAACCTCAACTATCTCCCTGCATCTACGCTACTGTACAAATAATATAATATAATATAATTCTCTCAATTTTATTTAGAATGTATACATAAATAAATTTGGTTGTGGCTCACGAAGCGTATTTCGTATACAGGGTGTCCCATATAAAACTTTCCACCTGAACATTTCTTTTAAATTCCAAAAATACGTCACTTTTTAATTTGTGGTGAACATCGACTTACATCATTACTTATTTGTAGTTGCCACCCCTTCGTAGATCGAGGTCCCAACTTTGAAAGCTCTTGATACTGACTTTAAATCCGTAAAAAAAAAATAAAAAAATTGTTATTCGTTTTCAAGAAAAAAACATTAAAATTAAATTTTTGGAATTTAATATTTTTACATTTAAAATTGTTTTATTTTAATTTATAGCATGTGTTAACCACTGAAAACATTAATTATTAAACTGCAAAAAGGTTTCTACTTCAGATGATAAAAACAATAATAAACGAAACGTAAAGAAGGTTGAAGTTCTGATAATAATTTTTTATGAATTCCATTGCATTCTATTCCATTTTACCTTTTTGTTCGATATTATTTTATCGGAAATGTGTTATTGGTTGAAACCATTTTCAACTGTATCAAATCTGGTTAAAGGGCCATATCGGCATCAAATCAAATGAAACGGTGGATCACTATGCAAAAATAGCTGCTACAACGGGAAGAACAACAACTGAAAGCATGGTACCAGCATGTGACTTAACTCCGATATTTTGAAGAAATCTCAAATTAAAGTGGCAAAATATCTATGAAGGCTCCCATTCCGGAGTCGTCTATAAACAAATACAACCAACCATAGAACAAAAGACATGGTTTCACAACCTAGTAAACAGACAATTCATAAAAACCATAACCAGACTAAGAACAAACCATGCTTTATATCCAAAATACCAACATAAATTTGGCCAAACTGCTAGTCCATACTGTTTATGTGGTGAAATAGGAGATTTACAACATATAATACTATAATGTCCACTACAAATAACGCATCGAGACTTACTTTTAGAAGAAATATATAAGTTAAAAGCAGAAGCTCCATTCAATCTGATCACATTACTGGCGTCAGACAATATGAGTATATTCAACAGTATATTTGGATTCATCAAAAGATCCAGTATTAGAATCTGAGTTGCAGTGGTCTAACCAAATAATAATAACATATTGTAAATAATCATAAGACCCATTGCATAAAAAATATGTAAAAGTAAATAATCTAAATTGTAGAATTGTTGGGAGGAAAAAAATAAATANAATTTGTTTGGAACGAGAAGGGAATTTATGGAATTTTTTTGTTAAAATAATTTCGACAAAAAATTCGACAAAAAATAAAAAAAAATCCTCCGAATATTAGTTTAACTTAAATTTGTTTGGAACGAGAAGGGAATTTATGGAATTTTTTTGTTAAAATAATTTCGACAAAAAATTTAACAAAAAATAAAAAAAAATCAAGAAACAAAAATAAAATAAAATGAAATTATCAACAACCATACAATAGAATATGACGACAATGCAATATGATATGGCAAGGAAATTTACCTACTAACAAATAAATTGTAACAAAATCAAATAGGTATATTATAAACCCAGACACTAACATAAACAAATTGTAACAAAAACGAAAGGATATAAAAATGTAAATCTTGAGTAGAATAGTTTTGAAAACACTTTGTACATATATGAAAACAATGAAGTGTAATATCCATATCCATGAAGAAAAGAGAAAGAGCATTATTGTCCCGAAATAGCTCTGGCTAATTGGTACTACCAGCCATCAATCCACATTCACACACACACACACACACACAACTGTATCAAATCTCATATTCGGCTTACAATCAAAGTGTAACTTTTACATTTATCAATTTTTCATTATGGTTTATTCGTTAGCTGAAAAAGTTGAAATAAATTTTCTTTATGAAAAACAATATGAATGTGCTAGAGAAACTGCTCAAATTTTCAATGAGTTGCATCCTGATCACCAAACAAGTCATACGTACGTGAGCCAGATTGTGAAGAAATTTCGAGAAACTAGGTCCGTAGGAAATCCTAAGAAAACCAATCCTCCTAACGAATTAATGAAAGTAGGAATTTTGGGCTAACTGACAATGAATCCACACCAATCCGTGCGATCGTTAGAGCGTACTACTAAGGGATCTCTAAGTCGGACGTTCATCGGATTTTGCAAAAACATAAATGGCATCCGTACAAAATACATCTTGTGCATTGTTTGAACGAGGATGATCCGCATTGAAGAATAGAATTTTGTGATATCATGTCTAACAGAATTACAGAAAATCAATATACTTTACAATATCTGCTTCAGTGATGAGTGTACGTGTTTTCTCAATGGTACAGTGAATAGACATAATATTCGTTATTGGTCGGGTGAAAACCCTCATTGTGTTAGGGAATCGCACATTCAGCATCCAGAAAAGCTGAACGTCTGGGCATGAATATTGGGTAATCACATACGTAGTTGATCCATTTTTTTTAGATGGCACTTTGACTGGAGCCAGCTATTTACGTTTGTTGGAAGATCGTATTGATCGTATCACAGAAATTCTGAAGAATGATGATCAACAAGACGGAGCTCCACCCCATTTTGAGAGACGAGTTCGGACTTACTTGGATCAGAATTTTCCAGGACGATGGATAGGTAGGCGTGGGGCTATAGAATGGCCAGCTCGGTCTCCTGATTTGAGTCTCAACGACGTTTTTCTCAGGGGACATCTCTAATCAGTGGTTTTTGCAAGTCGACCCGAAAATTTTGAAGATTTAAGACACCGTATTGTAAACCAATGTCGGAATTTAACACCAGAGAGTTTTTGCAAATGTAAGGAGATGTTTCGTAGACAGGCTCCATATTTGCCAAGAACAACTGGGTGCACAATATAAGCATATATTATAAACAATTTTAAATATAAAAATACAAAAATTTAATTTCAATGTTTTTTTTACGGATTCAAAGTCAGTATCAAAAGAGCTTTCAAACGATGTATCACACGCCCTGTAGTGCCATTTGAAATTTCAAAGTTGATACCTCGATCTACGAAGGGATGACAGCTGCAAAATAATGTAAAGTCGATGTCCACTCAAATTAAAAATCGACGTGTTTTTAAGTGTTTTCAAAACTTCATATTAAACGAAATGTTCAGGTGAAAAGTTTTATATGGGACACCCTGTATATGTCAAGTTGTAATAGCTGTAGCTGTTCTTTGACATATACAGGGCAAGTCAAAAGTAGATATAAAAAATTAACCCACACTTCTTCTCTTCAAAGAAAATAATTAGTGAATAAGCCTTTGTACCTTCCTTACAAAGATACAACGTACCTACTGATGTTTATAAAGAAAAATAGCATTTTATTAATATTTCCAGAATATTTGACAGATCGTTCTGAAATTTGGTGTAGTAAATGTCGCTATTAACTGCTACTCTTCTGTGAAGAACCAGCAAAATACTAAAAGTCTTTGCAAGTCTTGCAAGTAAAAGTGACTTGCAATCATCAGTATGGTAAAATTAAAAAATATATGGGTCTAATATTGAAAATAATATGATTGTGTGAAATTTTCGAAATCCGCATCATTATTTACTAAACAACCCACATGTTAAAAGAAATAGAAGATTCCAAAGGATTTTCTATCAATGTATCTATCTATCTGCACTGACACTTTAATAGAATTGCAAAAACTCAATAATCACATAAAAATGTAATTCGTGTATTTGTAAGGAACTATTTTGGAACAAAAATTTATTTAACCAATTATATTGTTTTGGCCGGAAGTTTCGGTTACATTTTTTTCGCCTAATTATGATTCACGCTGTATATTATGTAACTCAAATGTCTGATTAATATCAACATGTTTCAGATGTTGGGGAAACTGCCAAGGAGGGCATAGAAACAGGAATTCAACACGTGAAAGAATCAGTGCAAACAGCGGCAAATACAGCAGGGAAAGGAGTGGAAACGGCAGTGGACAAAATAGGGGAAACATTAAATTTCACTTCTTCCAAAGTTAAAGAATCTGTAGACACTTTAGACGAGAAGAAAGGTGAGCTTATTGAAAACGCCTCGGATGCAGCTGCCGAGGCAGTTTCGGAGGCCGAAACGGTTTTGGCATCTGAAGCAGACAACGCTAAAGAAGAGTTCTTTTCTTCCAAAGACACGGTTTTTGAGAACGTCCACACCGTAAAGGAAGGAGTTGGTAAGAAAGCCAGTGACGTCAAGGAGAGTGTTACAGAGACATTAGACGATATTGAAGATGACATTGTTGAGAATTTTGATATGTTAGGGGACAGTGTCACCGAAGTGGGGCACAAAGTACAGGAAGAGTTGAAAAGTACCCCGATACCATCGCCTGTGAAGGAGATTAAGAAGGAAATTAAGAAGGAGGAGTAAGTGGTCTGATGTGAGTGTTCATCAAATCGTGTTTTTTTGCTCTAGATGAACGTAGTTAGAATACTTCTAGAGTAGAATGCACGAATCATTCATTACAAAGTATTATAAGTCATTTTTTTTATAGTAGTAGTACACCAGAAATCTTTTACTGCTCACCGTAGTAGATTAGAGTATATGTATAAGAATGAATACCTACCTAGTACATTATCTAACTCATACCCTATTGTAACAAACTTTAAGTTTCATTCTTCTCGCCAAAACAGACAGAAAACGAGAGTAGGTAACGACTAGGGTTTCTGGTCGAGACTTCTCGAAGCGAGAATTCCCGGGAAATCTGGCCTTACTCGAGACGAGAAAAAAGTGTCGAGAAATCGAGAAATCGAGAAATTTAAAATTCACGCGCGTCTTAAGTTCTTGACTGGAGTTGGTTTCGTTCATGCGTTCAATTCGTTGCTCGACAAATAACTGAGCGGTTAAAATGGTTTCTCTACCAGCTCATGATTTATTTATTTTAAGTTTTTAAGGCCTTATTTTACTTTGATGATTCTTTTTTTTTAATGTACATACCTAGTTATAAGTCTGTGTAGAAATTTTATTGTAAGCAGATTCCTAATGTTGAAGTGATAAATTAATAGCAAGAACGCTTCTGTATCTTTAAATTAAAGCTTGTTTTTTCTTAAGATTTCTTTGGTTAAATTCCTTATTTACTATTTATTTAATTAAAAGATTACATGATTAATGATTATTAATAATTATTATTGAAAGAAAACTACGATTCAAAAACATTGAAATAATCATAAGTATATTGAGTGTTTAATAAAAATAACAAGTTAAAGGTTTTTAAGAAGAAACTCAAAGTTTAATTTAGTTTTGTTAGTAGAAGTAGAAACATAAGTAATTAATAAAAATACTGAATAAATAATAAATGTTAATGATGATTGTTAAGTATAATAGCATGTTTATATTTCGCATTGCAATACCAAAATTATAACTTTTTTAAGTTTTAGAAATTTCCCGAGAATTCCCGGGAATTCCTAGTCGAGAATTCTCGAGACACGAGAAAAAAAAAAGGCCGAGAAATCAGAAACCCTAGTAACGACTTTTAAGACAGTCTTCTTCTACAATTTTTCAACAACTGGACTTGAACATAGTTTCTGATCAGTTACTCGATAACATACAGGGTTAACTATCACTTAGTACATAAATTTTAACCACGCGGTCAGGAAGGACTAAAAGGTAATAAAAAAATTATTTCTGAATTTTAGCTCGATGTTTAAAAAATGGGGCAAAACCCCCTTTGTTCCTGGTAAATCGGCGGTTATGAACTGTCATCCGACATAATTTCACTCAACTGTTCAGCAATATTTAGCGGCGTTGACATGTTGCCATTGTAGACACGACAGAACTAAACATTTTTTATTAATACTTGACAGATGTTAATCCAGATCGTTGCAGAATTTTACAATTGCTCTTAGTTCCGTTGTTGCATACTATCAAAACAACATTTTTGCAGATCCGTTAGGACTACACAGTAACAATAAAACACCACCACGCACAATTAATTAAAATGTCCATTGAAGTGAATAGGAATAATAATCGAGAAATCGGAATGCACCAATCACCCGCGTCTTTAATTTGATGTCCGATATCCGTAGCGGCGTTGAATTTGCATTCGACTCTCCAAAAATCCTTTAGATTTGTTCACATCGCATGTTCTTCACGTTCATTTTAATTAATCTTGAATTTATTTACTGGGACACTGGAAAACGTATGTGTAATTGCATACATTACAATGCCTTGATAACTGTAATGTACGTAAACATAACCTGAAAATCGCGAGACACAAGTTGATCTAGTGGCCTGGATACGTACTGCTGAATTATTACAGAAAACTGTAAATACCCCGGGGACTTACAGCTTAAAATAGGTAGGTACTAATTATTTTATGTGAACATCGATGATTTTTGTTTTTATTTTTATTACTAATATCACTATTTAATTCCCGAACAACAGAATAAGTTTAAAAACGAGATGTATGAAGTACACCTTACGCTACTTGCCTAGAGATGGGGCTGTTTCAAATGTTCAATAGGTGACTTTACGACATAACAAATAGCTGTTGAGTTCAAATAATTTGTCGCTTTGTCGGTGTTTGTGTTTTTGTTCACGTGCTTACGTTTAGTAAGTAATTATTTGTCTTTAATATTATTTATTAGTGTAAAACTCTACAAGGATGTTGAAAACGAATGTTGTAAATAAAAGTTTTTCTTCTTCGCGGATAATCGATACACGTGGCAACGCGGCGCTGTTTCACTACCGTTGCCGTATGCGAAATTCGCATCTCACGTCTGACGGACGGTCATAGCCGTCGTGAAATAGGAGATTCACTGAGGTTTAGAAAACAAATATTTTCAGCTCTAAAAACAATTTTGGAAATTTTTTGAAGGTCGATTCTGTTAAATCTTATTTTTCTCTATCCTCACTTAAAATTTATGTACTAAGTGATAGTTAACCCTGTATATACAGTTTGACCAAACTCATCTTGTTTGTGAGAAGCTCAGATCAAAACAAAAATCGGTTGTACGATTGACAAAGACAGAAGATCTTAAAAAAAGTATTTAGTTTTTGCCAAGTTACAAAGGCTCATAACTTCTAAAGGGGTTGAAATTAAAATTTGAAAAAATTCATGAAATCTGCTCTGAATATGTACTAAATAATACCTAAATATCAGGAAAGTTAAAAATGGTCCGGTCACGACCTCAGTGATTTGGTATGGAATACCCCATAATATTTTAAGGAAAAAGAAGTATTTTTGAAAAGTTTCATTACCTAAAGATTCTTTTTTTTTTAAATCGCTGCGTGTTCGATATACTATCTTAATAATTCTGACCTTACGAATACCTTGCACTACATTAACATAAGAGGAAATGGCAAAATATTCAAACGAAACCTATAGTTGATGTACTCCTTTGATAGTGACTTTTAGACATTTGTTCCGTGCCAAGAAATAATGGAATGTTCATAATGGGTATAGTTAAGCACTGAGTTTTAATGACTTATCAGATGACATTGATTTATCACAAAATTATTCTTTCTTTGCGATATCTTCAACTCCCCATAAAAAATTGGTCTTTTCTGGTCGTTAAACGGCTGATTTATCCAAATCAATTCTCGGCTAGCCTACCGTATAGAATTTCGTGGATTTTGTTCGAAATACTGTTAACAGTCTAGCTGTATTAACATTGATTCTTACCCTTCGGTCAATTGTTTGATTTTTCCGAACAGAAAATGCATCTTTATTTCGTCGCAAGGTCGTCTCCAATCTTCTAAAGGTTCTATGGTAAGGATTGAGGCGCTCTGGGTACCTATATAACTATACAGCTCTTCTTGATTTTTTTTGTGACTCGCCGTAAATTAGCAATATAGGTGCTCAACTTTTTTTGCATCAGAAAACATTTTGTAAGCAAAAATGTATACGTTTGACGTTCGTATTGAGTAAAGACAAGTATTTTGTGACATTTATGCATTTTAAACAACGAACATTCAATTGTTTTCCAACGACTACTTGATTCTTCCACATCTAATGTGATGTTTAGGTAGGATTTCTTTCGCGACTCTTTAGGACGATATTGCTTATAACTTTTAATGGGGAAGTAATACTGAAAAATTTCTCTAATAAAAGTTTATCACAAAAAGAGAGCCTTTTAACAGGAAAAAATTGGGTATGTTTCTGGAAAAAATATAATTGATGACGTCGTTAGTCGATTCTGTCAAAACCAAAAGATAATACTTTCGATTGAAAATCGAGCTTACCTCATCCCATTTAACACCACTTGTCCGAAGGTAAAAGCTTTTCTTTAATTGGAACATTGGATGGAACATATTCTAACATATGTTGAGATCAGGGACTTAAAATGTAGTATGTTGTAGTTCATGACATCCTGATCAAAATTTCTCATGGGCCCAGCCTCTGAAAATGGACAATTTTAAAGATATAAAGGATCAAAGATCAGGAATATCGGTATCGGCCATTTTGAGACGTTGAGCCCATGAGGAATTTTAATCAGGATATCATGAACTACAACATACTATATTTTCAGTCCATTCATAACAGCAGATACCGATATTTCTGACTTTTGACACATTATGTCTCTAAAACTAGCCATTTTCAAACGTTGGGTCCAGGAGGACTTTTGATCAGGATGTTATGAAGTACAAAATGCTACATTTTCAGTCCATTTGACTGTACCCCCTTTTCCATTTGTTTTGTGCGGTGCTTTTTTTTATTATTTATGACATTTAATGTTATACTAGGCTTTCCTTCTTCTATTTTCACTAATGCTATTCCTTCTTTCTCTGAATTATATTGGTTAGTGTGGTGCATGCTTAATAAATTTAAAAAATCTTTATTTTGTAGACTTCCGCCTACATTCTGGGAAGCAGCCGCTGATGCAATTTTACTTCGAGGAACTATTAAGACCATGGAAATGGAACGGAATTTTTTTACACAACCCGATAAATACGAAGGAGATCCCGAACCTTTACACCACAACGAAACTATGATCAACAAATTTTTGACGAAAGATAACGAGAATCATCAGCCATGAACATATAAATAAATAAACAATAGTCCAATACAGTAAATTCGTTTAATATTAATGTTGTTGCTTATCTTAACTCTAATCTCAAATTAACTAAAGAATAAGATGATATTTATTGAATTTTATTAGTGATATATACATATATAACTTATATAAATATTTATATTTTTATATTTAATGAATAGTAATAGTATACAAATTTGATTGTTGTTTGACTCGGATTATGTATGTTTTTTAATAAATTAATTGTGCATTAAAGCTGGGTTTCAGTGGGTGTTTGCAAACTAGGCAGAAATACTTTTGGCATATACAGGGCGTAACTTTAAGTGGGGAGTATTTACACTGAGGCTACCTTTGACCTTTAGAAACACGTTTCAATAGTTTATTTTTTCAAATTCGGTCGCGAGAACTTAATTTTTTAAAAACCTTTTTTTAATAATTTTCCTACCCCACAGCTGGACAAGCTAGTGTGATTTCAAATAATGACACATGTTAGACACAGCGCATGCACAATAAATTGAGAAATGGGCTATGCATTGTTGTCAAATCTCATAATTGAAAAGCAAATTTCACGTCACTGCTCTTTGGGATAATCCATCTGATACTGCCTTCTTACAGCAGAATTGTTTTCACAAAAAGTGAAATTACTTTCAGTATTTGAATTATCTGAAACTAAACACAGTAATAATTTTGTCAAACTGAAAACCTCACATTATACTTTTCAGTTTTCTCCTATACTCCGCAGTCGAAATTATAGAGAGTGACTAAGACATAATATAAAAACACTATTACCATAATGCGTATAAAATATAAAATGATTTTTATACGGTTCAATATTATTTATCTTTGTGCCGTTCGCTACGCACATCGATAGAATCTATGATCGTCTAGAGACCGAGTTACATTGAACGTCGATCTATATTCTATATCTGTCTTTTGCATTTGGTAGGGAATAGGGAAATGCTTTTTTAGTGGGTGTAAACGGACTTGATTTAACCCGTCCTGAGAAACGTCATAGCATAAGCGTCCATGGCTATAATAAATTTATAAATTAAAAAAACACAATTGGGACGTTTTAAAATGCTGTAATAATTAAAATGGATCAAAGTGCCTGTTACAGCAAACCGTAAAAAATATAATATAATGTTTTATTATCTTTTTTCATTATTTTCTATATCTTGTTGCCTTTTACGCAGATACGCCAATGGATTTTCGTTCCCGGCACGCTTCATCCCCCTTACTAGTCCAAAAGCTAGCGATGAATCACTCTCTATAATTTCGACCGGGGAGTATAGTCTATTTCAAAGAGGGACAAAGTCAATTCGATATTATTTATTTATTTATTGAAAATAATAATAAACTTGGGTCTGAGTTGGTAAAATTAATATTCTCCTAAAGTTTTAACTGAATAGTTTTAGCGTTTCCCGCGACTGCGATTACTTCAATTTCAATGTTTGCTCCTAATGGTAGTTTTCCCACCTGGTAACAGGAACGTGCGGGAAAATCCTTCTTAAAAACTGAAAATAAAAAATGTATATTTTTGAAAATTATGTACGAAAGTATATAAATGTATATACAATATATGCTACATTTTGTAATAGATACAATGAATTTAAAATTAATTCAGATTTAAAAAGGCGCTTTTCTAATTTTAGTTTTACACATAACTAAAATCTATGTGCTTCTTCATGCTTGCAAGAGCCGGATAGCCGTCATCAAAGCATTATTAAAGAACGAATAATTTAACATTAGTTCGATGAGCAGTAACCAATTCGGTTCTGGCAAGTGCGAATAGTCCCTTAATCAACTTCAAGGACTTACATCTGATGCTCTTTTGTTTGGTAACGTCACACTTGTGGTACTTTTTTTAACTGATACCTATATTTATTTATTTATTTAATTTAATTCACCCAACGGGAGAAACCCAATTACAGGATGAATATTACAGCTACAATAAATACACATTAACACAAGAAACATAAACATTTAAAAAGTATAAATAAAAATTACAAACCTTAATCAGAAACAATGGTCAGTCAATCAATAAAAAAATAGCATAACGGTAAAGTCACATGGGAATTAATATATCTAAAATCATTACCAACAACAGAAACAACAACATAAGTAGGTAATACAAAAAACTAACAAGAAATTAAAAATCCGATAACTCAATTGTGAGAATAGAAAATTCTTTTAATATGTGCTAAGGAAGTATTGAAAATGTCCAGGCTATTCTCCATATTATGATAATTAAAAAGCATTTGATGTAAAGGAGACCACCGCAACATGTTAGTGCGCGAAGAAGGAAGATTAAACAAACTATTTGATCTGGCATTTATTCTAGGAACACGGTAATTTATTTGTGTTGTAAGCTCAATGCAATCAATATCGTGGTTGACAATTTTGTACAAGAACATTATCGAGTACATAACCCTCCTCTTAATTAAACTATGCATTTCAAACCTATCCAATAACAACTCCTGAGGGTATCCCAGAGCTGGATAGACTCCATCTAAGATAAAACTGGCCGATTTAAGAAACCTCCTCTGCACTTTTTCTAATGATGTTATGTAACTATTATAATAGGGAGACCAAACCACAGAGGCATACTCCAACTTGGGTCTAACAAAGCACGTATATAAGGTACGTAATGTAGACATATTCTTAAAGTCCTTACTATTTCGGAGAATAAAACCCAAATTTTTGTAAGCACCTGTGACAGATTCAGCAATATGTGCAGAGAAGGTTAATTTTGGGTCAAAGATGACCCCTAAGTCCTTAATATGCTCAGGTCTAACCAGTACCTGATCACGTAGGCTGTAATTAAATAGAGTAGAATTAGTTTTACGGGAGAAAGACATTACATTGCACTTCGAAGCGTTTAAGGGGAGCCGATTATTATCACACCAAATGGTAAGCAAATTCAAGCTGTGCTGAAGCCTATTACAATCAGATACAGAGTTGACATTAGTATAAATTTTCAAATCGTCAGCATACATTAAAAAATTTACCTTAAAGTTTCGCGCTATATCATTGATAAAAATAATTAAATATAGTTGTCCTAGTACTGACCCTTGAGAAACGCCTGATGTTTGACTAAATATGTCTGATTTGTAACCACGATATTGCATAAACTGAATACGATGTGATAAATAAGATTTAAACATAAGTAAAAGAGAATTATTGATACCAAAATTGTGTAATTTACGAAGTAATATACCATGATCTAATTTGTCGAAGGCTTTAGTGAAATCAGTATATATAACGTCCACCTGACCTCTCATATCCAAAGTCTCGGCAATAAATTGAGTAGCACACACAAGATTGGACACTGTTGATCTACCAGGCATGAAACCATGCTGCTCAGGAACAATTAGGTTTTTAGCATAAAAAGAAATGTGTTCGCGAATAATTATTTCAAATAATTTAGAAAAGTTGCATAAAATAGCAATAGGTCTGTAGTTTTCAACATCCTCCTTGTTACCCTTTTTATAAACCGGACACACACGAGACTGTTTCCATAAATCAGGGAAGGTGTTAGATTTAAGGATTTGATTAAAGATCGTGCATAACGGTTTGGAAAATAAGCAAGCACAGTCCTTGATAATAAGGGCCGGCAAGTTGTCTGGACCCATTGTCATATTTGCTTTCAGTTTCTTTATAGATTTTAAAATTTTATCTTCAGTAATTTCAGGAATATGTGGGATGTCATTATCGTTAACATAGTATTGTGAATTTAAATCAAAATTGGTGGAATCAATAAAGGAGTTAGAAAAGTAACTAGCAAAGGCGTTGACTATATCTTGGGGATTTTCGCAATTAGACCCATTATATGACATTGAGGACGATATACCAGTAGAACCCTTTTTTGAGTTTACAAAGTTCCAGTTCCTATATGGCGTCGCGCGCGTTGTTGTTAGTTTTATTTCATTATTTTGAAAAGTATTATAATATTAATTATATTGAAAAACATGCCTTTAAATAATTTTACATATAATTGATGTGTGTAATAAGTGTTTGTTCTAAAACTTCGCGTAATTTCGATGGATTAAATCAGGTTGTAAATTTGAGGTTAGGTTTTGTTTGTGTAGTGCCGGTGTTTAAATAAACGCGCGTGTGTAGGTTAAAAGCAGTACCTAGTACGTGTTGTGTGCCTTTGTGACCAGGAAACAGTGAAAATGAAGATTTATGCAAATTGTGAAAAAATAATAAGGTTTGTCAATTTACATTTCGCCGAAGAGCATATTGTTCGCAGTACCACACAGGTAAAGTTTTAATTTTTTTTAATTAGATTGTCCTTGTAACACCCACCCAATTTCCAAGTTGTCTAAATTATCAAAACAATAGACAGCCGTAAACGCAGATGAAAAATTTTTGAAAATTGAAGAGCTCAAGTTCTAAAGCAAAGTACAGACGAGCATCTATCAAAAAAAATAATTAACGAAGTGTGGAGGTCTTGTTATTCTGGGTGGTAAAATGCTTTAACGAATTTGGACAAACCATTCTCAAGTAAAACATTAGTACCTACTTTAGTATATCTTCAGTAAGTACTTTTTAGAGAATACTGCCAAACTTTCAATAATGAATGTTATTGTTAAGAACGAAGTATAAATAAAAATAAGTGTAATATAAAATTTTGCACGAACTCATTCTTGTTTCCTTTCCATAATCATATATATCTCATCGTTGAGAAATTTAAACAAAATGAAATAAAATCTATGGTCCGTCACATCCGCTGACATTAGTTGCTTTCCATCAGCGTCTTAGTTAAGAATCTATACCAAAGATTAGCAACTTACTTGATGAAATTCAAAATAAAGTTTCTGATCATATATCTTTAGATACATCGAGAGATACATATTTATATCCAGATTCTTTTAGTAAAGTAAATTAACTTCTGTCAAAAGGAAAGCAGCTATATTCAAGGAGTATTTTTTGATTACACTAGGTTGCACCCAGTGACGAAAAGTGTAGTACCTACTTATGGTTTTGTACCAAAAATTTATATAATCAACAATATTTTGGCAAAATCATAGAACATTTAAAAAACGTACCTATTAGTAAAACATGTTACTTTTGTTTTTTTTTGTTTATTTTGAAAAGATCAATCGGCCTTGAAAGTTTGACGGGTAAAATTAAAATAGAAGAGCAGGTGATTGAAATGTGGAATAATAGGCAATCAGCGGTAGAAGATTTTGTGTTTTGGTAAAATGTGGCATCAATTTAGATGATACCATGGCTTAAACGTCTTCTGTTTTTGGGATACAAGTCATCAAAGATGATTTTAAAAATTTGAACTTTGGGGATGTTTGTTTAAATTTAGTTTTACATAAAAATTATACTTTTTCTAAAACTGCAAGATAACATTTTTTAAGGAGAAACACAGTTGACTAAGAAATTAAGTATATTAGTATTAGTTAAAATGGAATAAAATATTTTGGAAGACCAGGAAACAAAATTGTAGAAAAGAACATTCATCACGTGATGTTTAGTAAGGGATAAAAGTCAATGGTGTGTGCATAAAAAAAACGTGTAGTGCTTTTTCACTTAATACTATTCAACAATGAAAGTTATTAACGACTGTACTAGCAGACAGTCAAAAGTTAACACTAACTCATTTAGCAGCCACATAGTAGAATGCATTATTAAGTACGTTTTGTTGAAAAAAAATATGACTAAAAATTTATTTTAAAGAATTACCATTGACGTCCTGTATCTCAAAAAAAACACATTACGATAGACCGATAGTGCACAGGGAAATATTTTCTTATTTTTTGTTGATGTTTCTTCAGTCTCTGAATTTCTGCTAGTGATACTCCTTTTCAAAACACCTTGTATAAGCTTCGCTATCATACTTCTGCTTTTCTAATTTTTATTATACACCATTTAATACTGTAAACTCAATATACTCACTAAATTATTTTTTTGGTGGTTTTCATAATAAAGGTTGAGTTTAAGCTTACTTCAAATCGAAGCTTATTTTTTAATGGACACTGACAGTATAAAAATGCCTATACAGAGTGTCTCACAACGATGACGATGAATATTGGAAAAAAAATTCAAAATTTGTATAAGGTGGTTCATCGATATGTTCTTCTCTGAACATATCAGCAATTTCCAGTTCATTGTGGTTACACCAAAATCCTGAAGTCGTTGTGAATCACTCTATATTTATATTCTTTTGAATACGATTCCGACGACTAGGTACATCTGAAAAAAATAAAAATTTATTTACATTCTTTGTAAATATCATTCACGGTTCCATAATCCTTTATGTCATTCAACATTACAGTGTTTTTGATGACATTTTCGTAACTAGAGCCCGCAGCTTCCAAGATGTATCCAATATTTTTCAGCGCCTGTCTAGTTTCAGCTCTAATACCACCTTCTACAAGTTTCATTGTATCTTTATCCATACCCAAAACTCCAGATAAGAAAACAAAATTGTCTACGACAATTGCTTGACTACAAACAAAAAATAATATTTTATTTAATCACATTAAAAAAATTAAATTAGCAAATTAAAATATAATATCTTAAAAATGCATAGGACTCAATTGGGTATATTGTATCTTGAGTATATTTGAATGAAGATAAGAACAGACATCGATAAATTTTTTTAGAATACGAGCTTGTTAATATTTTTATTCAGTTATCGTTTAATGTAGTTTTGGGACAATCATTATTACAAACGTTGGTATTTACATTTTTTGCATTTTATGCTCAGGAACCGTCATAAATTAGCATAAAATTAAATTATAAAATCTTAATGAGACTTTACCCTATAGGACAAAATTGCAAAAAGTTTTGAAAAAGCTCCATATTTTTTCCAAGAGTATTTTACCTTATTTTAATAGTGGTTAGAATTTCAATTCATTTTATTTCAAAACTATTCGTACAACCTTTCATCTACGCATGATTGCTAACCTCCCTGCTCATTGTTAAGATTGACATTGACATTCTGTATCTTTTTAAGATGTCTGTGGGTGACACACGGATATGCGCATGTGACATGGCCTATTTTATTTAATTTTGCTGTTACGTACTCAGACTAATATTATTTATTACTCCAAGGTTACGTACATAGATTGTTTATCTTTTTAACAGCTTTGGAAAGATTCCGTAATTTAATGAGTCCTTATTTGGAGTTGGCGGAGTGCTTTAGTTTAGTTGAAGTAATTATTAGAGAGCGGACAATGTGTGTCTTTACCCCGAAGAATAGGTCAAATTTTGGTAGAGATGTGTACGCGTTAAAAAATGTATTGTGTATAAACTATGCAAAATATAATTATTATGTATAGCAAATATATCGTATTATCCTCGCGAAGATTTGTACCCTTTATTTAAAATCCATAAATCATGTGAACAGGTTAAATAACGAGAAAATAATTAAGTTAATTTAGTTCTAAAGAAATGAAATGACACTCGCGCCCATCTCTAGTC